CTGCCTCCCCGCACCGTTCTGCTTCCCAGCTCCATGGTGCGGCCAACGCTCGGCCCTTCCCGGCTTTGCCCCGTGCCGGGGGCAGACTCTGCAGCCCCGGGCCAGCGGCTCTTTGGTTTTGGTTCATTTCTTTGCCAGCGGGTCAGGAGGGCTGGGGGGGCCAGGGCCAGTCTGGACGGTGACTTGTAGTTAGAGAACGTGGGCTAGTTATCTGCTGTCTGGTTTGACTTTTAATTTTTGGCAAGTGACTTGTGTCTGCGCTCCGGCCAGGAAACCAATTGTACTCGGTCTCTGTCACCACCAAAATAGTGGTCTTCAACCAGTCTGTTTCTCTCTTTTCTCTTCCTTCCTTTTTTTTTTTTTTGCGTGCGTGTATGTGTGTGTGCGACCTCTTCATCTGATATTTAATAATAAAAGGGATGAACGTTACTGCCTGTATCTCTACTGCCTTTCTCTTAAGTTGGAGGGGTCACCACACTTGCTGAGCAGAGCCCCAAGGAGGAGGTGGCTTCACAGGCCCCTATGGTACCCAGCTCCTGCGCCCCACAGAGCGGGATGGAGCAGCGGCAAGGCACCCTGGCTGCTTTGGGGTGCAATTCCCTGCCACGTTCAGCATTGGCAGGTCCCTGCCCACCCTGGTGGCGTCACCTGGTGCGTGCCAGCCAGAGCAGTGTTGGTGCCTGTGTCTTGATCCATGCTACAGCCAGCCTGGACCGCAGTGAGTTTGCTGCAGGGTGGGTTGGCAGGGAGCCATAACCCAGGGCTCCTGGTGCTGCTGGCCCCCTGGGCTGCTTTCTGCAGTTTGCTGAGCCCCAGGCAGACTTTGGCCCTGAATGTCAGAGGAGTGGGGGAGGTATGTGTGGGGGAGAAAGCTCCAGGACCAGTGGGATGGTCCCAAAGATGCTCTGGGGGGCCGGAGGAGGGGGATGGCGGTGCTAGGGCCATGGTGTCTCTGCTGCCGTGCCAGCCAGTGTGGTGGTGCTGGTGTCTGGAGGGCCTCTGCCATGTGGCCGGCTGTCCCCCAGTGAGTCCTGCTGGGTCTCCCACCCACTCGGGGATGTCCTGGGTCAATGTCATGGTGCTGATTCCCACCTGAGCAGGACTGTAGCAGCAGCGGTGGGCTGCAAGTTCCCAGTCTGTGACCCTGCCAGCCTCAGGCAACCCACCTCCCCAAGCAGGGCTGAGTGCACCCGCAGTGCTGGGAGAAGCCTATGGTGCTCCAGGTTCACATCCTCTCTCGTAAGCCCTTGGGACAACACACTGCAGCCTGGCAGGCAGAGGCATCCCCCTGCTTTGCTGACATCCCCAGTTCCCCATTCTGACCTGCCGGATGGGGTTCAGGGTCTCCCCCTGACCTCGTATTTCCCCGCTGGCAGGCTGCCATCACTGCCCATCTCCTCCAGGGCCATCCAGTTCCCCGTCCCCCCAGCCAGAGCCACACGGCTGCTGTGGAGAAGGTGCTGGTTTAATGCTGCAGCCCAGCCCAGAGCGAGCCCTGTGACAACACGCTACTCAGGGTGACTGTGTCCAAACTGGAGCCCTGTCCCCAAGCCCCAGGCTCAGCTGTGCTTGTTGATGTGGCGGGAATGGCTGTGCACAGCCTCCACAAAGGCACCCACATGCTCAGGGTTCATGTCGGGGTAGAGGCCATGGCCCAGGTTGGCAATGTAGCGTTGGGTCCCAAAACCCTCCAGCATCTTCTTCACCAGCTCACCTATCTTCTCCTGCAGGCAACAGTGGAAAACCATGTCTCAGCCTCATCCACCCCCACCAGTCCCCAACCAGCCTTGGGGACTGCTGGGACACGAGCCAGCATTGCAGGTGGGGAAACTGAGGCAGGAAGCCTTTAACACAGGCTGGAACTAGCCCGTGCTGTTGGCAATGGCCACAGCTCACCTTGGGTGCATAGAGAGCGCAGGGATCCAGGTTGCCTTGCAGGGTGACATCTTTCCCTGTCTGTGCACTGCAGCAGGGAGGAAGCAGGTGAGTTGTTGCATGTGGAGCAGAGGCTGGGGGGAGCTGGGTGCCTGCAGCCCCCACTGCAGGGCACACAGGACCTCTCAGTGCAGCCCCTGGTTGCTGTGAGGTCCACAGGGCATTAAAGCCCAACTATCCCCACCTCTGGAGCAGAAATCTCCAGTCCTGGGATGGCTCAGGGCAGAGGAAGAGGTCAGGGTACCCTGGCCTGGGGTGCTGCCCAGGCACCTGAGCGTTCTGCCAGACTCTTACCGAGCTTCCTGGGGCCGGATGGTCCAGTCGAGACCGACTACCTCGTAACCGGCACGTGCCAGGTCACGCAGTGCATAGTGCGCATCCTTTGCAAAGATGATCTGCAGAGGGAGGAGATGGGCAGTAACTCTGCTATGGGCCAGGCCCCTCTCCATGGGCTACACTGGGGGAGGCAGGTACCAGGGGGTGCACCCCTCTCCAGCAGCCCCCAGATGCCAGGGTTGATCCAGGCAGCCCCCGCTCACCATGGGCACCAGGGGCAGTGCCTCCTCCTTCAACTTGCTCTTGACAGCCTGGGCGATGTCTCGGATGTAAGGCAGGACGAAGTCTTGAAACTGCTCTGGGCCCAGGTGCCCCGCATGGGACTCAAACAGCTGGAGCGCCTGCCGGGGACACGGGGCTAGGAGAGCCGCACCTCAGTCCCTCCTCCTCCTCCCAGAAGCTGCACCCCCTCTGCTCCCTGTCCCCAGTCCCTGCCCTCCTGCCTGTCCCTGTCCCCATGCTCCAGGACACACCTGCGCTCCAGCAGCCACCTGCCCCACCAAGTAGTCAATGATGACATCGGCCAGCAGCCGCAGCAGTCGGTGGCTTGCCTCAGGGTGACGGTAGAGCCAGCTCTTGGCTTTGGCCATTGTCGTGGAGCCACCACCTTCAATCATGTAGGACATGAGCGTCCACTGCAGGAAGGAAAGGAGTGGAGTGAGGAAGGTGAAGGAGGTGGAAGAAGACATGAGGGGATGGTCACAGTGCTGAAGTAGGACCCGTGAGCAACCCAGAGCCTGGGGCACAATTGCTCCTGCATTGAATGTCCCCTACCTACCCACCCCTATAGCACCCACAGCTCTGGGGGTGTCATGGCCAGTGTCACCCCAGAATAAAGAACAGAGAAGCCCAGCTGGGAAGCCCACATAGAAGAGCCACATCACTTACAGGCGCTCCAGAAAAGCCAATGAGGGGCACCCTGCCCTCCAAGCTGTGTCGTGTCAGTGTGATGGCCTGGAAGACGTAACCCAGCTCCGCAGTCACGTCCACCTTCTGTCGCAGTTTCAGCAAATCCTCCACCTCCTTCAGGGGCTCTGTGAACGTGGGTCCTTTGCCGGGGACCATCACAACCTCCATGCCCAGTGCCTGGGGATAGAGGAGAACGGAAGAAGCAGGAATCGGGTGGCCCCAAACCCAGCCTGGTTCCCAGCCGCTGCTCCCCACGGCTCTCACCTGGGGCACCACCAAGATATCAGAGAAGATTATAGCAGCATCCAGGGGGAATCGTCTGAGTGGCTGCAGAAAGGAAGAGGCAGCAACAGTGAGGGGCTAGAACCCCCTCCCCATGGAGGACCAGGACAAGCACATGGGGCAGTGGGTCTCCCAGGGCTGCACAACCACCCGGGGTGGCCAGATCCAAGGTTTCTTCCCATCCCCACCCGGGCAGGGAGAGGGGACACACAGACCTGCCAAGGGATTCTCACCTGCAGCGTCAGCTCACAGCACAATTTGGGGCTCCGGCAAGTGGCAAAGAAATCCTGCGCTGCCCGGGTCTCCCGAAACTCTGCAAGGGACCGGCACAAGCATTATGGGGTGCATGCTGAGGCCCCCTCGCTGTCCCCACCCACACCCCTCCGCCTGCTCACCGGGCAGGTAGCGCCCTGCCTGCCGCATGCACCACACCGGGGTGTGCTCCGTCTCCTCCCCGCGCGCCGCTCGCAGGAACGTGTCATTCTTCAGCTTAGGGAAGCCCTTGGGGCTACGGACAAAAGAGCAGGTACAGGTTGTCACCCACAAGGGGTCCAGGTGCCCTGTTGGATCCCCAGGGCTGGGGGCAGGGGGTGCCAGGGCCAGCGGTTCATCCCCATTCCCTAGCTGGTGACCGCAGGAAAGAGCTGTGACAAACGTGACAAATGCTCCCGATCACGGTTCAGGGCCTCTTCCTGCCTGGGATCACAGGGCCCTCCCTGGGGAGAGGCGATGCCCAGCTCAGGGCCCCAAGAGATTAAGTTATCAGGGCCAGCAGTTGCTCCCGCCTGGGGAGATTTGGGGCCAGTGGGGTGCGGGAA